TTTTTTTTAAAAAAAAAAAAAAAAAAAAACGTGCGAGCTCTTTTGATTTTCGATAAAGAAACGTACAGATAGATATATATGTATATAAATATAAATATATTACCAGTATATTGTTGCTTACTGCCTAAGAGCGGGGAGTTACGCCAAAGTTCAATAATACAGAGAGATACGTACAGAGAGATAGAAAGAGACAGATAAAGAAAGAAAGACAAAGAGAGAGAGAGAGAGACAAGGAAAAAAAAAAGAAAAAGATCGCAAGTCGCTGCTTGGTGTCTCACGGATAATTTCAATTAACCAGGAAAACGTAAATTACGAGGAGATCGAATGTGATCTCTCGAGCGTTTCCCTCGCTTTCATCTCAGTCAAATGTCAATCGAGCTGAGCAGTGACGCGTGAAAGTGTATCTCGGTCCATCGTACAACGACAGTAAGGAAACGGTCATACGGTACGGATCGTCCTGGATGACGAAGATCCGTGGATCGTCGAGTAGAAGATAGGAAAGAGAGAAGAAGACGAAAAAAAAAAAAGAAGAAGAAAATTGAAAAATAATACAAGAGGAAATCGCGCTGCTCATGTCCCCATCTCATTGCAACAATGTCGTCGGAATCCTTTTTTCCTCGTGATGCAGTCGATGAGAAAAAAAAAATTTTTTTTTTTTTTTTTTTTTTTTTAAAAACTTACACGTTCATCCGTACAGACAATCTCGACAGGATCACGAGGAAGATAAGATCCGGTGTAGCGTGTGAGTGTAACTGTGTGCGCGTGTGTTCTGAAAATCCTGATTTGTTCATCCGTACAGACAATCTCGACAGGATCACGAGGAAGATAAGATCCGGTGTAGCGTGTGAGTGTAACTGTGTGCGCGTGTGTTCTGAAAATCCTGATTTAGGTTGCGCGATCGTGTACAATGGACACGAGGTGTACGAGATAATAACAATGATGAAATTACGTAAAAAAAAAAATTTTTTTTCTTCGACGAGGACGTCGCAAACGTAACCGGTGATGCGACGTCGTCAGGTACACGGAGGACGAGCTTGCACACGACACTGATTTCTCGAGCGTGAGGTATATGGAATACATATATGTATATGTATAATAATAACAATATATCGTGTATACTTTACCACCCTCTCGTCAAAAGACCGCCGTGACGTGTGCAGGCTCACGCAAAACAAAAGTTCATATGTAGGCTGTACATATATAGTAATTAAAAAAAAAAAAATTGAAAAAAAAAATAAGAATAATAAAAAAATAATAAAGAGATGTTTATAAATGTGAGAATATATAACGTAAATGAACGTCTGTGCAAAACTAACCTTTCCGCGGAGGCGCGACCGTATTCTCGGTATTCACGAGAGAGCGCCGGCCCTTTGATAAGGGTGCTCGCGAATCTGACCCAGGTGCCTACGCTGCTTGGCAGCGGCTGCTGCACCTGTCCCCAACACACAAATATGAGTAATTCCACTCCGCTAAAATATATATATATCTCTCACCAGGTATCTCACACAGTCCATGGCAGACGTGCGATCAATTCGTTCGGCTATTTATACTGTTAACATTTTGTCAGCGGTATTTTACCTTCTCGTCTTTGACGGCAAGGTAACGAGGAGGCGCCACCGTCGCCACGAACTACTCCATCCCTCTGCGGATATTCTGCTCTCTTTTATTTCTTTCTATGCTCGACGTGCAAAATAAGGAGAAATCACTTTTTCACTAAATTTATGCGGACTCGAAATGGAGATTCGTACGTGGTTCGGGCACCTGCTCGCTGTTTTTTTCTTTTTCTCTGTTTTTTTTTTTTTTCGTTTCAGAGCTGCAACGTGGGTACGGCCCAACTGAAGTCCTTTCGGTTCAAAAATACTTCGTTAATGTACTTTCATGATGTGTATGCTTGAGTATTACGAAGATACGGTTTATTGGTACTATCTTGTTTGAAAAAAAAATTTTTATAACGCGTGTCTAAAATTGATTAAGTGATGTACACGTTACTCGCTGCCACCCACGATGCAACTCCAAATATATAAAAATAAAAATTTCTTTACCGTTTTACGATAATAATAGTAATCTTAATGATAATCATAATAATAGTAATAAGATCTATATAATAATAATATGTAATATGTTTACATATATGTGTGTGTATATATATATATATCTCTGGAGAAGAAAAACCATTACAACTGGACATCCTTCATCTCACTCGTATATGGCTACAAAAGTTCATGTTTTTTTTCTCTTTTTCTTTTTTGATTATGATTTTCCAAGACAAATCAGGTAAATCGTTCGCGTAAACTAAAATGTGTCCAGTCGCATCACTCATTCATAGCAATAATGAGTATTAAAAGTAAAACGCCTATCCTTCGCTTTCACCTGTTCATATAAATATAGTAGCTAAATCTTTATAAAAATAAAATTAAATAATCGTATAAAATAATAATAATATAAAATAATGTACAAGATTCACGTAGTAGCGTATTGCTTTCGTATAAATTCGAAGACTATTCATTCAAAAGGATCCCGAGTCTAGAGAACTTCAGAAAATAAGTCTTTCCCGCATGGATCTCCGAAAACAGCTGCATAGATTCGCAAGCCGAGTAAGAGTGTTGTGAATCGATCCAATTTTGTATTAACTTAAGAAAAGAAGACATTTTTTTTTTTTAAATAGCGTTTTAACGATCCTGCGCTATTCCAACGGCAAAATTTCATCTTTAGCGCCACCGTCCTCAGGAACGATTAACGTTATCCTACGCAAGGTCCGCCACGGTATATATATACAATTTAGAAAAAAAAGAAAGATATAAAAATTTTTGTTTTATATTCACAAAACATTTATCTCCCTTGTCAAACGTACAACGTCTACGTTCTCTGTAACATGTAAGATTCTCATTTCTCTTAGCTTATTGTCTCCGTCTACACAGCATCCGGCAATGGAGATCCTTTTCAACGTGTAGTCCCCAATCGGCTTAAACAGTTACAAGTATACGCTAGAACCATCAGTCCTCGAAAACGTTTGTTTGGTCCCTGGGTACTTTCCCTACACCTATGCTGTCTGCCTAAGAAATCCTACGTACTTTAAGCCTACCTATCACCAGCCATTATTAATTTGTAAAAAGTTTCTGTCGCGTAGAAGTAATGGTAGCAGCGATAGAAGAAGTGGTAAACAAGTGTAGAACCAAAAAAAAAAAAAAAAAAAAATTTAAAAAAAAAAAAAAAAATAAAAAAATTTTTTTTTTTTTCCTTGCACACGTTTACAAATTTCAACATATTTTATAACCCCATGGGAGGGTATATCATCATTCCAACTTAATGCTATTTTCTTTTGCTCAACATTTTTAAAACGATAATTACGCACCGAACACATTATAGGACGGCCATTATGACAAACCGGGTTAGGCAATTTTTTTGAAATATATGAAAATACCGTTGGAAATACGACCATCGCTTAAACGCTGCACCTGCTGATAGTATCCTATACTATTATCGCGGCAAAGCGAGGGACGCACAGAAGTCGAAGTGGAAGAAGAAGAAGAAGAAGAAGAGGAAGAAGAGTCTTTCGGTACCGTTCGAAAGGCGTCGGTAATGTCGTTCGCCTATGTATCTTCCGGCGTCTCTCCCTAATAGTACTCTTATATACTTTTCGTCCTGGTGCCCTCGCGCGTTATTCCCGAGGTTCGCTTAGTAGTGGCTATTAAAATTTTTGTAGATCCGGTACGGGTCGTTCGGAAACGTCGTCTTCCAATGCTTGCCGTATGCGACTGAATAATAAAGAAATGTTCCGTCGTGTGAGAATTGCCATTATTAGACACGATGCTTCTTAAGTAGGTTTTAATTTTTGTTGGATATTTGTTTTTTTTTTTTTTTTTTTTTTTTAAGGTCATTGGGACAGATTGTGTCAGTTAAAACGTTGGGAGTTAGGTTGGTTTTCTTTTCATTTTTTTTTTTTTTTCGTAGGAAAGGCAGGATCGATCGAGTTAGTTGTTATTTCTGTGTTAGACCAAGCCCTAGGGATTTTTGTTTTCACTCAAGAGTTCTAGTGGTACTTCGTGGTGTTACTGGTGAATAAACTGCGTTAAACCGAAACGCGAGCGTTCGAACAAAGAGGATGAACGAAGGACTGTGTTATTAAGACATTAAACAAAAAAATCTAGTTTAAATTATCAAGGAGCGAAAAATATATATAAAAAAAAAAAAAAGAAAATTATTAAAACTGTTACCAACTTTCGATTAATAAACCATCACCGTATTATAACGATAAACGAGTGATAAAACAAAACAAAAAAAGACGTTAATATAATTCTCTCTGTTTCTTTTCTTTCTCGTTTAAATACGAACAGTAATATCATCGAGCTAGGGATTACTTGCGGCAAATGAAAAAAAAAAAAAAAAAAAAAAATGATAAAAAATTACGTTCGTTAAAATCTACAATATCAACGATTACCGCGTCTCCGTGAGTCACGATCTACTGAACTGAAGTAAAAAAAAAAAAACGTTTACAAAAAAAAAATACGAAGATAGACGAGAGACGCGAGAGAAAGAGAAACAAATAGAGAATAAAAAAAAAATTAAATCTGAAAAATAAAAAAAGAAAGCTATTACGCTAATACTCACTAACATGCTACTTTCAATAAATATATATATATATATATATGTTTTTTTCTCGTTTTATATTAACTACACAATGAATGGCCTTTGATTATTGCATCGAGCAGTGCACAAAACAATGTGCCACACAACCGGAAGTCTCGCGTTTCGCGCGCGATATTATCCGTCAGAGAGTATGTTATGTATGTATATATATATATATATATATCCTCGCATTGCTGTTGTAAATAGTAACAGGGGTAACTCAATGCACTATGCACCGCGAATGACAGCGAATTTCCCTTTCGGTTTTTTCACTCCCCCGACCAACCGGCCCCGTCTATCTATAATTTCATTTTCTTTTGTTCTACCTTGTACTTCTCTAATGCCAATTATTATGCTCATGCGCTGCGTACTGTTCAACAGTTCTGTGCACTTTCAATACTATAATGCATTTTACATTTACATTCCACCTATACTAGCCGCCAATCTTGCTGGCAGTATCCCGATTTTTCCTTGAGTCGCGAAAATCAAAACGTCGTCCAATTGAACGAGCAAACGGACCCCATCGCGTACCCAGCCGGACATCTACAGCATCCTGTGTAAAGTTACGAGCGCGAAGCTTTGAGAAAAAATTCCAGCCAACAGGTTACCTGGAAGTAGCTATGACGCGTGTCCCGTATATATTATATATATATATATATATATTCGTCCTAAAGATATTTTCATCTCTGTTTCATTTCCTTGGTAAAAATAGGCCGCGCAAAAAGGCACCGCGAAAAAGAAACCTTTCCCGTGCACGAACCGGGAAAACCGGAAGACGGCCGCGAAGCTCGACGCGACTAGTATCTACCTCCGCCCTGGATTCAGCTCGATCCTGCGGCGCGCGTTCCGCAAGAAATAAAGTCGAACTTTTAAAACTCTATATCTCGACTCTTCAATGTCATGTTGCTTGCTACTCGAATAAATGAACGCGCGAACATCTCAAAGACACGCAGTGCTGTTAAGCTCTGACAGTTACGTAATTATCAGAACTGACTCGACTAGTAAATGACTGATTCAGCTATGTTCGTTCTAAAACGCCTAGCCTAACCGTAATAACGATTATCGTTAAACCAGAAACAAACAAAAAAAATATATTTCATCGTCCGCAACGTGGTATATTCTAATTCCTAAGGAGCTAGCGTCGTTCGACGGAATAAATCACAAAGTCTCCAGAAACTTACAATACTGAGTACCCCGGAAACGCATTAGTCGACTTCCAAGTAAATACGAAAACGAGTAAACAAAAAAAATATATAAAATAGACAGCTGAGGACTCGTAAAAAAAAAAAAAAAAAAAAAAAAAAAAAGG